CATGAATTAGAAGAACCTTTCAGATATACTTCTTTGACATTCATCAAGTACAGAGCAATGTAGTCAATGAAACCTAAAAGCAACCTCCTCATCCTATAGAACAGTGATGCAGGACTGCAACCCCACCACTGTGGAAAAGCAGGGATGAACTGTGCAAATTATGCTGCCAAACTGCTGGTTTGGGCTATTCTGGACTGCCTGGGGAGGTCAGTACTAAACATGTGGGCTGATGGAGTCACCTTGGTGGGAAACCTGTTTTCACTCATGAGGAGCTCTGAGTGTTGCCCTGTGAGTGAAAGCTGAGACACGGTGGCATGAGGAGCAAAGCAGTTTTCCAAAGAAATTGCAAAGTACTCTTTGCAAGCTTTCACCAGGGTCTACACCAAAAACCCTGGTCAGGCTAATTGGGAGAACAGAAAATTTAGGATGAGTTTCCTTGCACTGATGCCATGGAGCCTCTCTTTTGTGGACCTATACTGGTGTAAACCTTGAGTCAGCAGAGTCATTCCTGATTTGTATGTGCTGAAATGTTAGCAGGATCCTATCCAGTGCCATCAGCACCCTCTGCTTGCATGGTCTTTTCCTCATTGTGCATGAGGTTGCTCTGAGACGTGTTCTAGGTCATCATGAGCTCTCATTTAAGTTGTAATTGAGTTCACATTTGTCCCAGTGCAGGATTTTGTCTTTGCTATGTTCAATGACCTTGAACTGATTTGAGGACTCCATCCAGGTAACTTTGCAGTCTACAGAGCAAAAACTGAGCAGCTTTATTGCATGGTGCCCTTCTATGTGTATGTGTTTACACACACGTGTTGTCTTTCTTTCCAGTTCCTTCTCTCCCTCCTCTTTTTCCATTTGGTTCTGCTTTGCATTTTATTTGCAATGTGTTGTCCTGTTGTGAGTATTGCTCATGCATGTTGAGTTAGGGTTCCCCAAGGAGTCTGTCTGGCATTGAAAAATTAAAATTAACTTTTTTGTTTTTTGCACTCTCAAAGCCCTTTATTATAAGCTGGGGGTTTTGCTCCAGGGTAGTAGGGTGTTGGGAAGAGTTGAAATATGGCACTGCTGAGAATCAATTAGTATAAAAACTGCACTATACCCAACTGTGTGCTGATTACTCCACCCCCAAAGTGGGGTTGCAGTTTAGGTCACAAGTGAAATAAGCATGTTGAGTCTCATTCTAACATGTCACTTTTATGGACTTTCTTCTCCACCTCAGTGCTTTCAGATGCGTCAATTGTCCTGTTGAGAGCTGGGCTCCTGTTGAGTCTGGAAACCACAGCTTGGTCCCTTCCTCTCCCCTAGAAAAGATGGGAATTGTCTTGCAATACCAAACTGATTTATTTCAAAGTGTTTCAGTTTGTCCGATGTCAACAAGGGGACTTTGGTGCCACTCACAGTGAGGAAGGTGGTATCTCACATCTACAAATTTGACTTACTGTACATGAGGGACTTGAGTCTGTCCTCTCTGCTTGTTGCAGAGATTAGAGAGATGTCTTGCACTTTCTTTTCTCTGAGTCCCTACAACACCGGCTTTGCTTCTACATTTAAATGTTTCACACACTAAATTGAAGAATCAACTACAATTCTGGTTATGAGGTGATCTTAATTAGTTAAGGAACATAGCAGCCTCTCTACTGTTGAATACCTTTGCACATCCCTAGGCTATAGTAATGGCTAAATATTGTGCCAGATTGGAGGTGAGCATCTTGCAGGGTTTGTTGGAAGCCTCATCAGGTGAGGACCCTGCTGTATGTAACCAAAGGCTCTGTCTTTTGTGGCCTCTGATCCTCTCTTGCTACTTGCAAAGCTCACTTTCTGTCCTCGGTTATCATTACACTTTGGCCAGGAGAAGGGATTCTCATTTTTACTGCAGAGCGCCCAGCTCTGTGGCTTTAATGGCAGGCAAGGGATGAAAACTATGGGATGTCCTGCCTTCCTTTCCCCTGTGTCCGCTTCTGTCTACCCAAAACTGCGTCCTAATTCTGGTATGGCCACTTGCCCTTTCTTCCACAGGACACAATGTGCACCCTTGTAAAACCTCTTGATAGCTTTGTGGTACAGAAGCGTGCGATATAAATCCAAAGGGCAATCTTTAATGCAAGGCTGTAAAATGCAGACAGGGCCCATCCCACTTTGCCTCTTACTATTTTCTCTATTCCTCTTGCGGGCACCTGCACAGCATCAGAGAAAACTCCCTTCTGAAGCAATCCCATTCAAGATACTTAGTCTTGGGGAAAATGAAGCTCTACCTCGCTGTGGGGAAACGAATTCACCTACCCATGTAGTGCAGGTTGGGAGTAGTGCCAGCACATCGCATGATAACTGTTTGACAGTGCTTCCTTGTTGCTTCACCCCATGCACAAGGAAAGGCCCAGCTGCTGCAGCTCCAAAGCCTTGGGCTCTGGTTTGAGCTTGTGTAACACCGGGGAATGTCTCTTCTGACAGCCGGGTGAGCCCATGCTCTAATCTATGGCTGTGCCAACTGCTTTGCTGCTGTGGGTATGAACATACCACCTGATCTTTCTGCTGGCCAGACCAGGGCAGATCTTGGGCTGCAAAAAGAATCTAAGACTCCCCATCACTTGTTCTTTCCCTTGCCATAAAGTCACTGTTGAATCAAACTTCTTTGGTCTGGGTTTCATTTCATTTTGTAGCTACAGGGAGAGTCACAAACTACTCAGATTATGTAAGATAAAAGTGAGTAAGTTTTCCTGGTAGAACACTTGGGTCTGTTCTTGTTGTGTGCAATTGTGATCAGAGTGGGAGGTGCTGGAGCCCCCTCTGTCCGCGCCTGACCCTTCCAGTTGGAGCAGGACTGTGTATTACACTTCCAAGTGACGTGTTTCGTACCAGGCAGCGAGTTCAATAAGCCTCTGAAATTTGCTAGATGTGAGCAGATCATACATGGGGCCGGGGTTTGGGTTTTTTCTGTCTCTTTGTGCTGTTGCTGGTAGAATGCGTTTCCCAAGCCTCCATCTGCAGGCCTGTTTATTTTCCCTCCTCTAAACGTTTTCTTTGTAGGGCAAGATGGAGAACAATGGGGAGCAATGGTCTGAAACTGAGCAAAGCGGGGGAAAAACTAGGCTAGACGTCAGTAGCAGTTTCATAACCAATGGAAATGAGTATGGGAGCATTTGCCCCTGGGAAGAAGCTGAATCTTTTTTCATCAGATTCAAATGAGGCAATGCAGAGGAGGATTCTATTAAAATTAGAACGGGGGGGGGGAAGGAAAGGGATTTGCTGGCATGACTTGGGCTGGAGGAACTCTTGCAATCTGTCCTGCCTGTTAACTCAGTACAGATTTAAGACTTGATTATAGGGTATTTCCTCTTAGAAAGGCTTCAGCATATCATCTTTCTTACTTGCACGTACAAGGTCACCTGATTTATTAGAACCTCGGGCGCTGCCTAACCTCTGGGGGGGATGTCTGGAAAGAACGGATAGCTGTGACGGGGCTGGTGTGAGAATTTAAGCTGAGCATTAGTTGACATTTGCAGTGTAGAAAACAAGAGCTTTGCCAAACCCAGCCTGAACGTTGGCCATGGCTGCAGACTCGCCCCTGGTCAAGTTACAGTGCAAAAATTTTTACAGTGCTACTGTTAAGCAGTTGAGCCCCGATGGCTCTGTTTAAGGTTTGTACTCGTGAAGCAACTGGAATAACACATTGGGTATGGTGGCAACTGTGCTTCTCTCTGGCATTTGAAATTTAGACTTGGATTTTGTTCAGGTTTTTGATCAGGACCTCAGCTGTTTGCAAAGGGGCAAAGAAGGACTGTGATAGTGGTTCTGACCACTGCTTGGAGCAGAGCTCAACCTGACCTTGGGATTGTCCTTAGATCTACACCAGCAGATTTCTTAAGTGTTTTCTTCCTTCTCAGCTATACGTGCTCCACCTTTATTTCCCTCTCTGGTCTAAATGGGTAATAGAATAGAATGGGAATTACCCTTTGGTAACCTCCAGTGAGCAGAATGCTCCTCTGTTGACGTAGCTTTGTAAATAGATTTATAAATGCTATATGAAGGCTGCCCCCAGTGAAGGGGTCTGTCTTCCAGTGGTGTCCACTGAGCTCATCTGGGGATACATGGGCTCTAGACCCATTCGGGAGCCTCGGCTGCTTCTCTTGTGTAATGGTCACCCTTGTGTCTCTTTGCCTCAGCTCTGAGGAGCACACACTGGCCCAAGAGAAGTGTCTCCATGAACTGTACACTCTGGCATTTTCCTGTTCCAATCACTCCAGGGACAATAAATAACAATGTTAATATATAAAAACACATGCTATAGCCTGAAGATTATGTATGACCCATTTTCCAATGGCAATATGCACATTTTAGTTCATTAAGTACTTTGTGTATGGTTTAGTTTCTTCTTTTTAATCTCATGAAGTGAGGCTCTCGCTAGTGCTGGCTCCCGGTTGTGTCACTGTGCAACACCATCCTCACACAGCAGCTCAAATATAAATGCAGTAGTCATCCACTCTCCTGTGTTTAACTGAGGTCCTCTGCTGAGGTGAGGGAGGTTATGAACATGCTTGTAATGCTTTAGGGCTTGAAGTAGTTGCATGTGGAGCCAGCTAGGGTGTACCTACGGAATGCAGCTCATGTATGCAGCTGAAGAATATTCTGGTAAGAGTCAAACAGTCTTCACTGCATGAAGAAGTGAATCTCTCTTTCTCTGTATATCTATCAATATACATATGTGCATATATATATCCCAAATCTAACTAGTTCCCAACTCCTTTCTCTCACTTGAGCTATGAAACACAATGATACTGCTTCACATCTATTGAAGCAGAACTTCTTGCTTCAAATTGAGTGAAGAATGTGTCATTGAGTGAAAATGATTTGGCTTGAATTAGGGAGCCTGTTTCCAAGAGAAACAGTTTTATCAGCTGTCAGTTTTGAAGCTTCAATGCTCAGGTAAAGCCTCCTAAACCAAACCCAAAGAGTCAATGGATTAAATAGATTTGCTCTTCAGTAGCAATAAGAGACCAACAAGATAAGAGGAAGCAAATGTAATGTTTTTAATGCAGATTTCAACAGTCTCCCATAAAGTCAAAGCACCAAACACTGAGTCTCTTTCAGCGAAGCCTAATGGCACTGAGTTAGGAACCTGCTCGAACACACCTTGTTTTCAGTATTCATCGCTGAAGGGATACTCTGGATGGTCACGCCACCTGTGGATAGATCAGATTGAACAAGTAAATTTCTTGGGTGAGGCAGGATCACACATCATTGATGCAGTTGCCCTGTGCCTAGCAAACCTTTTCCTTGCAATATATCGGTGGCCTTCATGGAAGGCTCTTCTGCTTATACAGAAGCTGTCTGCTCTGAATAATATTCCTTGCAGAGTTGGAAAAACCTGTGCATTTAAGGAGAGGACAGTGACAGACCATTTTTCGGGCCTACAGACTGTGTACCTTAAGGACAAATGAGAAAAAACAAGTAGACTATGGATGTCAGCTATTCTCGCTATTTAACTCAGGCTAGTAGAAGTGTTGTAGGGAAGGAGGATGGCTTCACTATGTATGCGTTGTGGAAGGAAAAGGCTTCTTTGTTCGGATCTCCAGAAAGACCCTCAGAAATAAGGGCTATATTTGAAGGAGCGATAGAGACATCAGACTAATACTTTGGCTTAGGGCTAGCATGAACAGTTCTGGGTCTGGAATGGTGCTTTCTCCAAATGGCTGCTGTATCTAGACTAGTTCTGGCTATCCTCTAGCTCAGCCTAGATGTAGATTCTCTGCCAGGTTAATAGTAGCAGTGGTAGACAATATACAAAGAAGCTTTGGGGTGATCCAGTTCAGGGGAGAAAGGCATGTTCATGGCTGCATTTCTACCAATGGTAGAGATGCTTCAGGCTTCATTTTAAATACTGCATGGTCAAGAAAGATGCACCATCCAGAATCATTATAAAAGGCAATAAGAAAATTCCCAAGGTCAACTGCAGGTTAAAAAAAATAAGTGTCTGCCCATTATTGGCAGACTTGAGAGAAAGGTGGTTGGTTTTTGCTGTCGGTTTTCTTATTTGTTTGTTTGAGAAGATGATGCTAAACCACAGGCCCTGGCTTGACAAACACTTTCCATTAGCAAAATCAAAAATTTCTGAAGAACATTCTCAGGTGCAACATGGCAGCTGGCTGCCTTGTCTTACAGCAGAGCACAACAAATACTGGCATTTATCCCAGCTGTGAATCGTTCCAGTTTGGGAAGGATACATTTCACAATATTGAAGTTAACTAACTGGAAGGCATCAAACATTTTGAATTGGTTGTGTCAAAACATTTCATTCCAATATTCAGCCAAGCTGAAGTGTTTACACATTAACAGATTGAGTTGGTTCAAAAAAACAAGCCACAACACTTTGGCTTGTTTGGTTTTAGTATAATTTGATGATGTCTGAGTTGTCAGTGTCATAATCTCTACTTTCCATCTATGGAGCATGTGTGCTAACCAGATCTTACATGTTCAAAGGCCTGAGTCCTTTGAGTGAAAATGATTCACCCAGAGGAGTCGATGCAGCTTGCAATAACTGGTAAGGAAGAATATCCATAGCAGAGACTGGGAGCACAAGATAAATCAAGCAGACAGATTAATGTAGAACTTGCCCAGCACAATACTTCTAGATTTCTCCAGGGGGAGAAAAAAAAACATTTCAGAGTGAGATTTCCTGAAGCAAAATCTTCATTTTCTGCTCAGATTGTTAACTTGCTAACTCATTCTACTGATTGCAATATCCTGTTCATACAGGCTTACTCACACCACCAGAATGACAGACTGGCACACCGTACATGTGGTAGCTGATAACTGAAGAGTCAGAGGAAAGCTGGATTTTTCCATTCCTGCTGGTGTTTGCATCACAGCAATCAAAGGTTTTGCACAAATTTGACTAACCAGAAGTCTTTCTGTATGGTGGCTTGACTTTTTTTCAGACACACATTGCTAGACAAAATAAGAAATCTCTTTAGGCTGGTAACTTAACTGTTGCAGTGTCAATTCCAGACACTTCAGTGTGAGAACACATAGTAGGCAGATACATGTTTAGCTGCTCCTTACACGGCAACACCGCTTCTCTGAGAAGGCGTTTTTCACAGTTGAGGTCAGACTGTATTTAAGCATTTTGCCAAACTTGGCATGACTGTGAAAAATAGACCTGGCAATGTCCATCCTATAAGCATCCTGTTTTCCTTGTCCTTAAGTGGCCTCCTATGACCAAATTTAGTCTAATAAATCAAAGCATTGGGTTTATTAGGTTTTTTGATTGGTGGCTTAGAAAGTTCTTCTCCTATGGGCATTTGCATCCTTTAAACTTACTTCTGGAAAAGGCTTTTGCATTTGCACCAGGGCTATGTTTTGTGCATATACTCACTGAAAGTTTAAATGATGTTAAAGCTCAACTTAGCTACGGAAAAAACAATCTCAGATACCAAAACACACATAAGAATCTGCTAGGCCATTTGTGAGAAGCCTTCTGGAACTGCTGGATGGAAGGGTATTTTAAGAAACTAAAGCTTCAGAGCACCTGGCTGAGCTTAAATATGAAATATGAACTCCGTTATGATGCTTCTAACTTAATTTGTATTTCCTGTCGTATTTATGCAGCACAGTAAATTGTTTATTTGTTCCTTTGCAACACTCCCCCCATCTTTTGAGCAATGGTCAACATCTTAGAGTGCTGTTGATGCTGCTGTCCTGCTTTTCATTATTTTTAGTGCTACAGTTTGGCATGACACAGATAATCCAAGGCAACAAGAGAAATACATGAAAATTAATCTCTAGCATTTGGTTACACACTGAGTGCCCTGAAAAGGGGACAGCATAAAGTCTGGCCATAAACTCTTGACCTGTAGGAAAAACAAATGGCCTCATTATCTGGAAGAGATGTTGAGACTTCTGCGGTAGTGCACCCTTCAGGTGAAGCAAAACTCTATTGAGTGGTAAGCTTTAGATCCCAAGCAGCAAGAGATCAAGGCTTGTTAGTTTTCAGAAGAGATAATTATGAAGTGGTCTAGCAGTCAAACAAGCTGCATGGTTTTCTGCTTTCCATATAAGAAGGAACAATTCAACATGACAGCAGGAGAGGGAATTTGCTGAAGAAGACACTGCCAGAGGGAAGGCCAAAACAAAGTTTCTGACCACTTGTGGTCAGAATGTGTCATCTTTTATAAGGAAGTTGTGTAGGCAAATTTTGATGCTCTGACCAAAGCATTAATTTTGCTTGCACCAAAGAAGGTGCAAGCTCTCCCTAAATTAGCCCTGTATATTCATGTAGCAGTGTTCTTAGTACCTAACCTTCTGTGTGGTGACTTAGGACAAGTTGCCTCTGGAAACACTAGGTTTACCATCCATAAGCCATAGTACTTGAGCAGAGACATGGTTTGCTGAGCACTGGAAGTGAGGGTGGGAAAGAGGGGAAAGACAAGAAAGCGCTCCTATTTGAATTTCAGCTCTGAGATCCACATCACTAGCCAGCAGCAATGCCAAACCTTGTAAATGGCTGAGATTGACATTACATTATGGCAAAAAGTGTTTAAGGAGCTAGAACAGAGATGGAATAGCTAATCTGAGCTGTAAGCAAGAATTGCACACTTATTTTTGTAACGTGTCCAGAAGCATATTCAGGATTCATTGAAAACCTCCCATATTTAAGCCTTACCTTAAAATATGGTTGTTAATAGAAAAAAATTAACATTAAAAGGAAGTAGTTGTTTTTTTTAAATACTCTAAAAAGACAGGAAAGTTCTAGAGATCCTAAAATTCTTCTCGGACTTACATTAACAGCTCCACATAACGAACGTTTTTGTTCAGGGCTTCAATTTCTTTCATCTCTTTCTCAGTGAGGGAGAAATCAAAGATCTAATGGAAGGAGAAATTAGGAGTAAGTTAGCATTTCTTGTCATAATCAACATTCATATGTTCCAGATGTCAGAAGTACAATCCCCTCTCCTCCCCCTTGCCTCCCCCACAAGTCCATACTTGCTTGTACGTTTAGGAAAGTCTTGAGGACATGAATAAGTCCAGTCACATTTGCTTATGCTCTTTGGCAAGAGAAAGGCAGTCTGGCATGTACTGCTCTGAAAGTAATATGTTAGCAGGGAAAGCAGGGAGCAGTGTGGAGCTGGGAGCACTCAGTGCATGAGTGCTGCAAGGGACATGGGAACAAGTGCTTCATCTTATTTGGATGTGGTGGTCAAGCCAGATGCTTTCTGTTGGTGTGGTTATGAGCATTTTTGGCACACCTGTATGCAGCAACTCTTCCCTAATGAAGCTGCCCCATACCTGAAGTCTGGGTGGAACAGTCAGTCATTCCCGAACACCTACAGCTGGCAACCTTGGGCTGCTGACCTACTAAATTACTTCATCTCACTTGTGCTGCTCACTGCAACTGGAGCTCTGTGATACACCACCAGCTGGAACTTTAGCTACTCCAGAGGGTTAAAAGACACCACAGTTTCCTCTCTGCTTTGCTCTGTTGTTGTCATATCATGGTACCATTAAGTGATGGGGACAAAAACCATCAAATGTGTCAAAGAATTTTTCACTGAAAGAGCGATAGGGCATTGGAACAGGCTGCCCAGGGAGGTGGTGGAGTCACCATCCCTGGCTGTGTTTAAGGGCCGTTTAGATGCAGTGCTAAGGGACATGGTGTAGGGGATGACTTTGTAGAGTAGGGTAGATGGTTGGACTCGATGATCCCAAGGGTCTCTTCCAACCTAGACGATTCTATGATTCTATGATATGCCAAGCCTTATGTCAACAGAAAGAAATGGGAAAAATCGCCTTCTGTGAGGGATAAGACAATGTAAATGGATTCATCTATGCACCATCAAGAGTATGAATTTACCTGGAAATTCTCTCTGATGCGTTGTGGATTGAAGCTTTTTGGGATGACCACTACCCCTCGCTGGATGCTGAAACGCAAAGCAACCTGTGCGGCTGTCTTGTTGTACTTTTTGCCAATGGCATTCAGCACAGGATCCTTCAGTAAAGGAGGGGAGGACACATTAACCCTGGAAGAAAATTGGAAAAAAGAAAACAAAAAAACCCTTCCTTAGTTTAGTGTCAAAACAGAGGCATCTACTTGTTTGTGGTCAGAATACTACACCTTTTTGACAAGTACTGTGAAAGATGTGAGGGAAAGCTTTGGCTTTTAGGTTGGTGAGCTGTTAAAGGCAACTTCCTATGTGATGTCATAATGTTGACCTGGTTTTTACTTCCTCACCTAAGCCTCAACATTCCCAGTTACAGACACTTGATTTCTGTTAGATGAGACCTAAGGGGACCTCCTATACGGACACTTGAATTTTTTTGATGACAGCATGTGGCAAGACATTGCAAGTTTACATTCACAAGTAATATTTAGGCACTGAAGCTCAAAATTACTTTGAGAAATGGGGATGAATTTTGCACAGACACCCACCAGTGAAGAACTATTATTCTTTTCTTGGATATTGCCCTTCCATTAGGAAGTAACACGGGTACTTACCAGGTTTCATCCCTTGAGGTTCCCAATGGGCTGTACCCAACAATAACAATGTCGTGTTGTCTGCAATATTCTAAGAGTTTGGGTTGGGTGAAATAGGGATGGCATTCGACCTACAAGAGTAATGTAGAAAGAATGATTAATCAACAGGGCTAGATATAGAAGCAGATGGTGTCCAAATATTTGTGAGAACTACAGACCGGGTGATGCTTTCAGGGAAGGATACATGTAAGTTAAGGAATAGGGAAACTCAATCTGTGGTTACTGTTCTAATTGTACATTGCTGGGTGATGGATTTTTTTTCTTTCTTTTTTTTTTTTGTGGACAGCAGATCAATCAACATCTGTGATTATAATTTGACTGCGGGGAATTTTTACTGGACCCTAATAGAAAGGTGGCAATAAGCAGGGAAGAGGGTGGAGGTGAGGGAAGCTCACTAGAGAAGTAGGCTGAGGAGGTAACCCATCTCATGTAGGTCAGATCTTTATTTCTCTGCCTCTTGTGTTCAGGGTGACTGATTTTGTTTTTACGGGAAGTGTTGGACTAAGCTGTCCCAGATAAGGGGTGGGGTGGGGGGGAAGTGGGTGGTGGTGGGATATGCAAAAGGTGAGACATCTCCATGACGGTTATGACCTTGTTACAAGATCTGCTCTCCCACATTGCAAATACTATCCATCATTCCCTTACAAATTGGGATTTTCAGGCTGTGTTCTCAGTCTCTGGGAAAGGGATGTCTACAAGGTGACAAAGCAACCACTGTTTGCAGGCAGTCTGAGGTTAGCTGGCACATCTATGCTTGCTGGCTAGCTACCCTAAGCTGGCCTTAATCTTTTGCCTGGTTTTGCTTGACCACAGGAAGCAGTAGCAATGCTCAGAGCAGTCTTAAGGGCATGCTAGAAACAGTAATTGCATTTTGCACCTGCTGGGCATGTTAATACCAGCGAAGGGTGCTGGAATTTCCTTCTCTCACAGGCTGCCTTTCCCTGCAGTCAAACACAGTAGTGAAGGCTATGGCCAACCTCCCTACCCTGCCTCATCTCAATCTCAGCCCTCCAGGACACACACTGAAGGTGAGAAACTGGTCCTAGTTGGTCTCCAGCCTCTCCTCTGATTCTCCTAATGTGGATATTTGTTTGCGCCAGATATGTCAGAAGACCTTCCCAGTGATTTCTAGGAAATGCGTTGGGCTGCCATATGCCAGAGTTACAGATGGGTCACTGCCACTTACCACCTTCTCTGAGCCCCACTACTGTAATTTATCTTGGACGTGCCTGTCAATTTTATGGGCTTGTTCAGCTCAAGTCAATTGCTTAATGGGGTCTCCTCTTTAATTTAGATTTTCCTTTAACTCTTACTGGCTTCTTACAGGAAAGACACAAGAGAGCAAGTACAGGAAATTTAGGAGTTATTTCTAATGACTTCTAAACTTGGGAAGCTTAGGGTGACACAGTATCCCTGATACCTAGTGTTGTTTTGGTTTGGTGTCAGCTGAGGTAGAGGTGGTTTCATTGAGGACTGGTTAGCCCTGAATGGTTTGTCTGGGGATTTTTTTTGGACCTGAAGAGAGGTATATGGCAGAGACTTAAGATCTGCATTGACTCAGCATTCAACGTTGTTATGGAGCTTTGGCACAGAGGTACCGTTTTTATAACCCTGGAGCGGTAGCTGAGCAGAGTGATCCTTCCAGCACCTTCAAATATTTATCTTTAGCCTAGATAGGATGAGTAATATTTTCAAGCTAGAAATGGAAATGTGACAGTATGGAGAGCATTATCTGTAGCAAAGCGTACATCACCTTTCTGCACGTGGTGGCTTAGGCCATGTGTTGCTTCTGCGTTCCCTACAGGGCAGTAGCACTGTGGCAGGCACTGCCCTTGGCTTGCAGTCATACCTGGTTGCTGACAGGTTTGTACTTAAGTCCTGGCTTGTTCAGGATCATCTCCAGCTGCCTGCGGTTGAAATTGGATACTCCAATAGACTTTGCCAAGCCTGCATCTTTACATGCTTCCATAGCCTGCAAAGAAAGCAAAGACCAGTGGAGTCCTACATGTTGGCTTGATACCTTGGAGCATGTGTTTTTAGAGATAGGTAGAAGATTGCAGAAAAATCTTTGTTGCAACAGAGCTAACAGCTCTATTTGCATGAAGGCTAGTGCCACCCTGCTATTCTAATTTCCATCCCCATGTGGACGTGCTTTCCAGACCAAATCCTAATGTTTTACACCTCCTGCGAGGGTAGCATTTGTCTGGAGAGTAGAAAGATTAATCTGAGATATAGATACTTAAGTGCCAGATATCTGCTTTAAAAGAGTTTTGCTTACTTTGTGCTGCTTTAGCACTGCCTCAAAGATGGAGAAGTGAGAGTGAACAAAGAAGATTACTTTCCTGATAAGTCAATTTATTCCTTTTGATTGTATGACGGTTTTTCTGGCAAGGCACATCACAAAAACAGCATAGAAAACTTCAGTACAGTATAAAGTAGGGGGGAAAAAAAAAGGTGGAGGAGGGGGAAGAGGAATTCTAGATATCCTGCACTTCAGACAAATCCTAATAGCTGAGAAAGTGTTATGAGTACTGGATATGAATATGTGCTCTGGTCTTCATTAGCTTCATCTGCAGGGTTGTTAAGGGGAAAGATGGTCCTCCCCTACAGTCTTCCCTTTTACTCCCAGAAACTCTGCACGCAAATGATTCAGTGACTGTTTGAGGAAGAGCAGACCCCACCATGAAGCTGGATGACCCTCCTGACAGTTTTGTTATTCCTTTCTCTCTCACAGGAGCTGAAAGCAGGGAGGTTAGAGGCACTATGTATTTGATGACCTCTAGTTGGCCTCATATGCTTTGTATCACTCAGTGACAAGTCAGCAAATACAGTCATCTGGAGCCATTTTTGCCTGCTAGCACCACGCTGAGAGAGTGAAATGATCTGGATTGAGTTTAGCCAGTTTTATTTAGATTGATGCTATTATTTGCAGGCACTCACCACCACCTATTTTTCTCAGGGCTTCTTAGCTGAAGAGACTGCCCTACTACAATATATCCTTTACAATAAGCACCAGTGTGAAGTTAAAAACATTAACAGGGCTTGGCCAGCCGTTGCTTTCAACATTTGAGCAACTAGCCTGCGAGAGAGGGGAATGAACTGCATCAGCCAAAGACAAGGGTAACATAAACAGCAAAAGTGGAAGTTCCCATTCCCCCTGAGACCCAACCTTGGTGGCACAGCTGCCAGGGGAAAGCCCAAGCCTGCCCTGGGCTCTCTCCACTCTGAACTTTCACTCAGAATCTCACCCATTCTCCATCTTTATCTGCTGTATCTCAAGTGGAGCTAAATTGAGACACAGCTATCCAGCTCTGGATGGTGCAAGCTAGAGTGGAGCATGTAGTAGCCCATGTTATCTCTCTTGGTATGAACTGTGCTGAATTAGCGATGCTTTTGCAGCAGACCTGGTGTAGAAGGAAAGCTGACCAGCTTTGGCCATCAATTAAAGAGCGTCCAAGGCTTTGAAAGGCAGGAATGTGAGGAGATTGCTGATCTCACTTTCTGCCATGCCTGACAACCTGAAGCCAAGTGGCAGTAGGCTTCAGGAGATACTTGCCTATAAGATTAGAGTGAATCACAAACAAATTTAAGGTGCAATCTTTCAGGAAAATGCTATTTCCCCTCAAGTTTTCTCAGTAGAAAAACCTTCTGGTCTCATTTGACAATTAAATTTAAAAGTGAGTGATCTTGCTTGGGGGGGGTTGTGTTGGTTTTGTTTTGGTTTGTGGTGTCTTTTTTTTTATTGTGAGCTTTAGGGCAAATTCTGTTTGGTGTGTTTTTGGTTTTATGCAGTATTGGTCTTGGTTTTTTTTTCTTGAAGGTGAAAAGCTTCCTTTTGTTGAGGAAGATCCAGTCACTTCTTAGGACTCCAACTTTCTCCTGCTGTAAAGATCTGATAAAGAGGTGAAATTGGTAAAAACCTGCAGGTATCTCTACTAGCAAATGTGAAGTGCACTCTCTGAAAGAAGGAATGTGGATGTCAGATATTTCAACAATGTTTTATTTTGTCATATAAATAATTAAGTGATGGCAAGAAACAACATCCTTAGGGACAGAAGTAAACTTTATCCATGGAGCTAGTAGAACTTGATCCATTTGCCCTGTCAATATGCCTCAGCTCTGTTTGAGGGCCACAAGTAAAACTGAGAATGAGGATCTGTTTTTTTAAAGCATATATGGATGGATGTTGTGTTTGCTTACCTCCCAAGTGGCACATAAGTCTGTCTCATGGTAGATAAATTTTCCATTTTCATCTTTTGGATAGATTGCGTCTCCAGGCTGAAAAGTAAAACCACATTTTTGTGCTTTGAAGAAAAATTTTCACTCCTCAGACCAAAAATATTTCCACAGACTTTTCTACTAACAAACAAAAAAAAAAAAAAATTCAAAAGCTTTCTAAAACACCCGAAGTTCAACAAGTCATTCATGCTGGGCTTACCACATCCTCCACTGCTAGATCATCCTTGGATACACTTCTGAACTGTCACATGAGTGCACACTCAGGAGTTCCTGGGTAGCCTTGTTTTTCAGTAAACTTTTGACCTTTACACTAGGTATCCATAGGACTTCCAAAGGGCTGGGTTAGAGTACCAACCTGTACTCTCTTCCACTTCTTCCCTCCTTTCTTCCCAGCCCTTCCCCTGATCCTGCTTGTATCCTAGGCACCTGGGAAGAGTTCCAGCTCACAACAGCTGGAGGGACCATTTCCAAGAGCTACTTACTGGTAGTAAAGGGCTATATGTGTAACTACAGTACAGGCCATCAAACTCCTAGGTGCATTATCCACCTTTCTTTGGGTACTAGAAAATCTTTCTTCCCAGCTCTATACCCCACAAACAAGACTTCAGAGATGAGTTATGAGCTGATACCTCACGAGCACAGCTCTCTCTTATTTGCTGGTTATTTCACTGCTGTTGCAGGCAATGCATTAACCACTCTCTCCCTTTTATCTGATTGCAATTTCACTTTTTTTTTTTTCATAAAAACCCTTCAGTGATTTTTGACACTTGATCTGATTGCAAACTGCTACATTTCCAAGACCTGGGTACAAGATGTTGGCATGGTAACTCCTTGGGAACTTGTGGCTGTGACTAATATGATCAGTAACTGGTGCCTCCCAATTCAGTCAAGAAGTTCAAATTCAAGGCATTTCATGGGAAAAGTGAATGTAAGAAAAACACAGCCTCAGATTTCAGAGGTCTAAGTTACAGGAATAAGCACGTCTCCTCCAAATGTGCTGGTTTTCTTCAATGAATTCCACAAAGACAATATATTGCCTTTGCTGCATCTTGCTGAAAAGAATAGTCTTGACTACAAGGAGGTAGGTGGTTGTTAGGTACATTTTTCTATTGGAAAGCAAACTGTTTGCCATCATAACTTGAGGTGGAGAAGCCCTACTTACAAAACCACTGCATGGTATTTTGGAACAAACCATTTATCCCCATGATATTCCAGCAGACTTTCTGAGGACCGCAAGCTCAGCGCATAGCAGTTGGACTTTTTTGAGTTCAGGGGATGAGTCTAAATTCAAGACCTTTTTATTCTGTTCCACTTTGAATTCATTGTCTTCTGTTCAACATTACTTTTTTTTTATAGTAGTCAACAGGCAGCAATTACATTAGCTACTTTATCATTTTCCTCTGTTTCTATCACTTGTGTTCCCAAAAGCAAACAAAGTCAGGATGAATGGCACTTGAAGATGAATTTAACTTGACTGAGATAAGTGGTACCAGCTATTGTGGCTTTTCACAAGGATTAATGCTGCCTCCTGACTCCAGGGAGCTGAACAAGATGTTGAAGTACAGTTGTCTCTACTCAACAGTTTCTGGGCATTAATTTCTCTGCCAAATTACCTTCTTATACAAGGGAGTTCCTGAATGGAAAAACAGTCTACAGATGGATAAAGAGGGATAAAGTGCTAAGAGAAAGGCAGTGTTTTGATGGTGATTTTGATGGTCTTTGAAAAGGTCTTTCAGAAGTTGCTCATGTTTCTCAGCTTTGGGTTCTCACGGACTACACAGCATCAGTCATTCCCACAAATGCTGTTGTCTTCTCTTGCAGTTCTTGTGGAGATAGCCACGCACCTTAGATGGAATGTAGGGTGGATTCCTACCATACTGCTGTACAAGCACTGAAATAAGTGGGACAACACCCTACAGTCACTTTCACTATGCAGCAATGTCATCATATCATGTAATGTTCAAAGTTTGGAAGCACTCCAAAGTTACCAGACAACTTACCCGCATATTTAAAACACAACAGTTGCTAACCACTGAGAGGAAAAGCCCTGCTGCCATTATAATAATTTCACCATCACAGATGCAGGAAAGCAGGTCTGCACATCCCATCACTTTCACAACATGGTCTTTGACAAGTGGGCTTCCTCAAGAGAGCAATTTTAATAACTTGTGGATGTCTATTGTATAAACTGAAGGCAATAGGAACACAAATAGTGAGGCCATTGGTCTGTTTGATTTATCCTCTTAAAATGACAAGAGGATACTTGGATGAGACTTGTTCAATGTAAGGCTAAAACACCTGCTTTCCTACCAGATCACAGAATAATTTAGTTGGGAGGGATTTGGAGATTTAGTGCATAGGTACCTGTTTACTGATGGACCAGAGCCCCCCATAAAACCTGCCAGCGGGTATCAGCTCTCAGGCAGGAGGCATGTGATGGCCTGGAGGACACTTGTTCCTGCTGGTCATCTGCCTTGCTTTAGCCCACTGGTGGGCTGCACCAGCCTGCACCTGGGGAATCTCTGTGAAGGAAAAATACAGGGAGGTGCAGGCTAATGTTGGTAAGTCAGTGAAGAATGTCACCCCAGGATATCAACCACTCTTGATCCACCCAAAAGTGGTGGGGCTTTCCTCTTCTGAGTGGTGGTCTCTGAAAACAGATTCCTCTTGCTCTACCTAACAGGCCCTATGAGAGGCTGCTCTGCTGGGGCATGTTTCTTACTGGCTTCAGAGTGGACTGTAAACTTTGTCTCAAGTTCTTCACTGATTTCCAAGCAGAGACTAGTTTTGCTAGAAGGCTTTTGCAGAGTACAGGAAAGCTCCGATGTTTGCAGAGTAGGAGTTTGTTATCATTACACCTGCACGCTCCTCACCAAAGGCAAGCATCGCACATGGGATGGGTGCATTTGTGAGAGGGACCAAAGAAGGGAAACCTGTCACTATTGCAAAAAGGGAAGAGGGAGCTTCTTTTTGTATTCGGAACAGAAAAATGTATATTTTTCAGGCAGAAAGCAACTTCTTTTCTTTTTATCTCCTCTCAAGGGGGACATGAATGAGTCTCCAGGACTGCTACTCCTTTAACAACTCAGATTGTTGATACAGGCCTCAGGGAGTCAGATGCACATTACTTTAAAGCCAGCTGTCTATATCTTTATATTGTGAGACAGTGACCTTCACTATGTGGGAGAATGAACTACTACAGAATACAAACACAAACAAAGGGAAACAGGAAATTGCAAGTGGTGGGAAATTTTTAAAAATGTACCCAAAAGGATTCCATACGTGGGACTGTATAAATAAAGTTTTAATATCTGAGTTCAGTTCATCCTATACAGATCATACAGTTATATGGCTTTCTTGGGGAAAAAGGAACTGCAAGTGTGAAGTGATTGCTTTATCGGTAAATTGCTTCTTACCTGATACTTCTGGTGGTTGGGTGTCCATGCTAAAATATAATTTTAATAATCAGAGAACTACCTTCCTTGCAAAAAAAAAAGGCCAGTTTAGAGCTTAAACATCATCCCACAGAAACTATTACCTAGCTAATTACCTAACCCTCTTCTCTCTCCAAAAAAGGATTTCATTGGTTCAAAACCACTTAAATACATTTTGAATCTCATTATTGCAATTTCAGTATTATTAAATTTGCCCTTAAATCATGTAGTTGCAGAGGAAAATTGTAAAGCAAGGTACAAATGGCTGTGAAACCAGGAAGTTTGGGGAGTTGCAAGAGCTCTTTGCAAAGGAGGCATGCAATTTGAGTTCTTGCATTCAAAGGTTTTGGCTATGAGTTGCCCAGAGCCAACAGCATGAAGGAATATCTGGCTTTAACTTCTGAGAGTGAGAGATGGCCAGCCTGTGTTTGGGACCAACTGTGATCTAGTGAAGCTGTAGGAGAGGAGCACTGGAGTTAAGGAGAATTAAGATCATAACCATGACTTGCCCAGTGGCTTTAACAGTACTGAGGCTATTTGGTTTTTGGAACAGAGTAAGGAAATCAACTTGGTGGCTTTTTCCACTTTCCCCCTCCCAAACTTTGCCCCTAGCCCTTCACTATTTTATATAACCACTTTCCTCCAGTGATTCCCTCCTCATTGCTCAGAGAGGATTAGGACATGTGTACTGCTTCAGCTACAGTAATTCTTCAGTGTAGGAAGTGTTCAACCACAGTAAGGAGACTTGTCCTTCTGAGGGAGAGACCACATGCTACAGCTGACAGCAGCTGTTATCACACAACTGATAAGGCTCTCTTTGTGTGGGTAGGGGACAGAAATGTATTCATGTAATATATATTAAACATTATCTGTCCAAAGTGCTATTTTCAACATGGACTGGAAGCTGCAAGGAAGGTGCTAGATGAAAACCTTGGTTCGAGACAATCATGCACCTTTGGGGGACAATTTTTCCTTTTACCTTGAAAGCCATTGGCAGCTCAATAATGTAAAGATCAACGTAGTCCAGCTGCAGGATTTTCAGCGTTTTCTCCAGCGTGGGACGCACCAGCTCTGGGGGATGGCAGGTATTCCACAGCTGTGGAGACAAGCACAAGTTCTTTTTTGGATGCCAGGAGGAACAATGAGCATCCTCCAGCTGGCACCACCCACCACACACACACATTCTTGTCCTTCTGACAGAGCCCGCTATGCACGGTGCGAAGACAGCATCATCTACATCACTGCAAGAAAGAGGTGAGGGCCCTTGTTCTTGCCTCTGCCAGAGGCAGATGTAGAGGTTGAGACAGGAATCCTTGCCCAGGACTGTCCCAGTGCTGACCCATTAAAGCCATTATATATTTTTTTATTACAAGAGAGGTTCTTCGCAGTTGAGTATATTGCAAACTCTTGCTCAATGAACTTAGGCAGACTCCTTTTTTTTCTGAGCTTTCCAAGCATATGCTTTCACTGGAAAACTTTGTTCCCACAAGAAATCTGTGGTCAGTTTTATGCTTGAAGGCAGAAGCTCAGATGATGTGAGTTAGCTATTGAACAGCCAGGCACTCAGCACAAAGAGAATCTTTTGGTTTTCTCTTGTGGTCATGGAGCCCGAGTGACTGCCTGACCTAGGGAAGTTTTAATTTACCCCCCAGTCCTCACTGAAAGCTGTATTATTATCTAGCTGCTGTAACACAGGTGTGACTAGTTAAAACACAGCCTTTCAAACCTTTTTAATCTCAACTGCTTTCCTTGCAGGGTTATGCCCTGAGGTTGCTATGGAGTGTGCTTAGTTGATTAGCTTTCAGTACTATCTCTAACTGAACTCTGCTGATGCAAATCTCTTGCAAGAATAAAACTATAGCATGGTAATTAGTAACCAAGAGCTCTTTGTAAACCGATTGCTGCAGTTAAAAAAACAGAATTAACACACAATAGAAGGTTTAAGGTGCCATTTGTTTGCACACAATACCGGGTTATTTCTGTTGTTGTTGCAATGCACAAAACTGACATATGGAGTCACGTTGAGGTTTTGACACCTTTATTGGCTGGAAAAACCTACTGTTTGTTAACATTATCTAGCCAGTTCTGCCACCAAAGCTGGCAGTCACTACATGCCAAGGTATAGAATGAATTCATTCTTGAGACACAAAGCACTTGAATTGCCACTTTCAGGAGACGATAGTTATTTTAGCTGTCAAAGGACATAGTCTGGGTAAGTTCTGAAGCATTTTAGATGTTTGGGTTTTTTAAACCATATTGGTTTTTTCCCAGGGGATAACTATCTGCTCAGTTCTGCCAGTAGAGGCAATGAAAAGTTCAGTTGTACTGAGGGGAGCACGTCTGACTGTGCCCTAAGCCGGCAAACCAAAGCAGGGGCTGGCACCTGGAAGTTAGAACTACACCTTCCCCAGCTGTAAGTTGTCAGGTGTGAAGAGTTTATGATAACTAGAACAGTGGTTACACAGGCTGAGGCGTGCTGCAGTAAAGGGACCACGGTCCTGCTCTCAGAATTTGAAGCTGTTCCACTGGATTTCCTGAAAGCCTTTGTTTTTTTAAACACTGTATATGTAAAGTGAGACGCTGTTTTGTATTTAAATATAGGTAAGGAAATGAGTCTGTATATTTCTCATGTTTAGTTTGTTTCTTTACTGTGTTTTAGAAATCTTGTAACCTGAGGTATGTTGACAGTTTAGAAGCATTTTTTCTGAGTGCCCTTTCTAGCTCTGAGCCATTGAGCTCAGTACTCGCCAGTGAGCATACTTCTCTTTAAAAAAACTGCAGAGATTCTAAAGAAACAGCCCTAAGAAATAGCAAACATTTGTACTATGTTAATACATGGATGCCATGGAAACATAAGAGTTTCATAACTGTTTTTATGACTTGTACAAGTTATTGTACTATCTACCTAAGTGGAACCCATGTAGATGTTTGAGCAGTCAAAGCTGCCAGCTGGCTTTGGCATTGCAGGACACCACATTTCCTGGAAATGTTACTTCTAGTTTAATGAAAGAAATATCCTGGGATGAAAGAGGAGACCAAAAAGGTCTTGCTGTATAGGCCAAGTGAGATGTTGGCAGTTGATATAAAACCTCTAAAATTTCTGGATGCTGAGCTGCTCTGCCTGATCAGCCAGCCAGCAGCAGAGCCAAGTGCAAGTGCTGATGATTTCAGCTGGCAGATGCAGCCCGAGTGCACCAAGTCACTATTCCAGTAACACTGCCACTCAGCAGGGCTCTTCTTGTTAGTCCCTGCTGACGGACCAGCCTTCAATTTGCATCAACTTTGTTTAAAGAAAGATCAGCATGAGGAGCCTGTATCTGTCTTGGGAATTTCTAGTACTTCTGATGTTCATAAGGCTGAAAATAAAACCAGCTTTTGTTGAGCAGACTACTTCAAGAATGGTCTACAGTATCTACCATGTTTCCCAGAAGATGCAGTAGTTCATGCAGGTCACTTACCAATCAGTGGCTGATGTATCTACTAGTAGCTTGATATTTGTCTGTAGTTCATAAGATAAAAGTTTGAGAGGAATATAAAGCTGAAAAATACATAAGCTCATAAGACAAAGGACATCAAGTCCCACTCCTCCTGGGAAGTTCAGAGCTGCTGTGAAAACATTTAGTGAAACCTATGAAAATCCTGGATCGAGATGGATTGAATTGTTGCAGAATATTTTCCACTTCTGCCTTTTGAACTCTTTAAAGACTGCAGGGATGTTCTAATGAACACCTGAGTACCTGAAGTTTTGTCAAGCACAAACAGGACACAACAGAAAGATAAGTCGCCTTGTGTCCTATCTCAGTGTCACAGGGCTGGATTTGGGGGTACTATCGGGGTACTGAGAGTTGCAGCCCTGAGGCTTGCAGGATCTGAACTTAAGAAACTGAATGCAGTTTCAGAGGTGGCTCAATGTTTAAATAGTGATCATCAACTAGGAAAATCATCTACTGGTTAGATCAGACAACTGAATATAGAAAGGCTTAATTAATAAAGTAAGTTTGGAATCCAGATAAAATTTTACCAAGAGATGCATTTTCAGAGAACCTAGATGTTTATATCGGAAAATTTAGTGCAGGGGAAGCATTTGGGAAAGTTGAAGGCTCAAAATTGTTAGCACATCTGGTTCTAACCCTTTGGCACAACTTTGTGCTTTTGATTTAAAATATTACTGGTAATTTGCAGTAATGAAACTATAAAACAGTTGAAACAAAATATTTTGACTGATGCAAATCAACATATTTGGCATACAAGAGACTGAGAGACTACCCTGGCAAAGGTGGAAAATTTGAGGACATGAATCTTTTCTCAGGATGGCAGGGTTGTTACCAGTAGAACTGAGCAGGGAACTTGGAAAAGAGTCGCATACTTTACAGATTGGAAATTGCTGTACTTGGAAATTGGTCTATAGCTGCTGAAAATCCACTTGGTCTGCAAACTGCCCAATCTGAAGCTTAGTTTCCCAGATCATAGAGCTTAACTAAATAGCTCACAGTAGAACGGGCTTTTTATCCCATGGGATCTTTGTCTAGGAACCGTGATATTTATTTCCAAGGCCATTGAGTTACTTTTGAGGATTACGTCTTATTTGGAAAAGGAGAAAGGGAAAATATTAGGCTGACATGTCCAAAGAACCACTGCAGGAATAGGAACTTGAGGCCATAAACTCCATTAGAAACTGGACAGGCACCATGAACTTTCTGGGGCCATCTGATCTTTACTCTGCAACATGCAATGAGTTCTCTCTCTTATACATAGGATCTAGTTACTGTAGTTGTAACAGCTTTTGTCAGACACTTCTTCGGATAAGGGATTTCATTCTCCTAGTGAAGAATCAACTTTTACAGCTAAGACCTTAAAACATTAACTAGCTCATGCATTACTCCAGCCTTGTAGCTCTAGAGCAGAAGTGTGATGACATCTCCAAGTAAGTTGATTCATCATCCTAGAACTTTTTAATGACAGGTGATACAGTAACCAAGGGTGTAGCTTGATGAGTAATTTTCTGGCAGTAGTACCAATGTAAGCACTTGCTGTTCTCCTGTACACAGACACTTGCATGCACGTGCTTGCTTCCACCCCTCTCATTGTGCAATCTCATGGCAAACCTGTACGGGGAATTGTTCTAACAGAAAATAACTCATTTGCAGGATCATTGCGCAGGTCAGGCTCAGTCTGTGACTATACAAGTGTGCGTGCCAGCACAACACATGGGACAGTAGTAACAGCTTAGGCAGCACCGCTGAGTGTAGCAACGGTCTAAACCTGCAGGTGCTTACAATAATAGGCAGAATGGATGTTGCATGGTTCCCATTGCTAGCAGAGCTTTAAACTGAGAACAGTGATTCCTGTGCTTAACAGCAAATCTAGTGCTCGTAAAGCTATGTGGCATGATGGTAATGCTAGGAAAGAAAAACAGAGGATGTTGGTTCTGGAAGCGTACCAGATGTTGACCACTGGCATTCTTAAGAAAGTCCATTCACAGAAATCCTGGATTTAGTGTTAAAAAACCTGAGCGCAGCTTCTCACCTTGCCACAGTAAAAGATGTCTTCTCGCTTGATCTTTCCTTCAGCAATCTTCTCCCGGATGGCTTGTCCCACTTCATGCTCATTGTAGTAGACAAAGGCACCGTCGATATGACGGTAACCAGTATCAATGGCAATCTTCACCGACTCCAAACAGGTACCTTTGGGAGTCTAATGGGAGAAGAAAAAGAGTAAACATAGTTTCAGCCTCCTGCTCGCTTCTTCTGCAATACTATAGAGACCCTGAGATATGCACAAGGTTCATGCTGGAGTTCATCCAGTCCAACCATCCCATACCTCCCCAGACACCTGTGTTTCAACTTATCGATTAAAATGTGCTGTGCACTTTTCTTCAAGAAATGTCTCAAATGTGGAATTAGACTGGAAAAAGGAGCAAAGCAAAACATTCTCTGTGTGTGGGGAAGAGAGAGTACTAGAGTCCTCAGAAAGTAGAATTGAATGTATTCATTATGAATATTATTTGAGAATTTTGTTTATCTAGAGAACACGAGCTTTCCTGCAACAGCTCTCTGATTCAAATCCATCAGTCAAAGGGGAGAGAGCTTTTTGGTTGAGCAGAGCTGGTCAGCCACCTGCCAGATCAGAGGCTGTTTGAATATCTTATGGACCAGCAGAGCTTTCAGCAGAACAGGAATTTGGATTTCACTTCCTTCTCCTCAACATCGGTGGTATCACAATCTGAAGGGTGATAGTTCAGGATTGTCTACTGGTATTCCCAGTTCTGGACAGTCACCTTACTGTGTGGTTAAGAACTAGTAGATGCTTTAGTGTGCATTTATGTACATCTTACTGCTTCAGTTTAAATGAGACCAAGAAACCTCTTAAAAAGTCCAAGTGGCATTCTTGTAGTATGTGCTGCACTTGTATTTATTTATCTTTTCTGAAACTCAGAGTAAGCTTGTTTTTTCAGAACAGTGATATTTTCCATTAGCCAGTGTGGCAAGCAAAATACCTGTAGGCCAAACAAAGCAAAAAAGTGTAAAACCGGTCACTGAAATCATTTGACTGGTCACTGAAATTGTACTGAAAACATCTTATTGTCACCACACTTTGTATAATGAGAGAGCAGCTCTAAGTGCTGGTGTTCAAAGGCTCTCAGTGACACGTGGCAACACTGTTCTCCCACCCTTTCCATAGGCATTGCTCTGCTGTGACAGGGACACCTGATTCACTTAAAGGAAAACTGTAATAGGGTGAGTCAACCTGCTCTCCTGCGCTGCTGTCTGCCAGCAGCAAATGCCAAGAGGTGAATGTTGTTACCTCCAAGCAAAAAGCCAAGACCACGCTGCTGCTCCTATGAAGAAAACAGATGCCAGAGACATCTGGAAATGAGTCAAGATATGAAGAGCAGATTTCAAATTTGTTGGTTTTGCTGATGCCAAAGAAAGACAAGAAGCAGGACTAGCAATAGGTGCTGTTGGGAAGGATCACTTTTCACCACAGCAGTCTCCCTCCTCTCCTTACAAGCTGCCTTTAGACAGCAGCCACTGCCTTGATTGTCTGGGATTTTGTCATAAAACAAGCAGCTGCTCTTCCACCACCTGATGAGCTAGAAGGTGTGAAACTCATAGCTGCCACAGGATGCTGCAGTGACTAAGGACACCGATCTGCCCTTCCATGGCCATGGAAGAAAGATCCATGGAGAACTGCTAAAGACACACAGGGGTCAACCTCTCTGTCTTTCTATCCCAAAGCTGTGGGTTGGTGGAAAATTATTCTGGGGTAATGGGACTTTATGCCAGCCTGCTCACTCCGCTCTTCAGCATCCCACCTGGGCTGGCCGCTGCTGGACACGACTGGACCAAATTCTGTTCAGACTCGAGGGGGACTTTCCGCTCTGGGATGCAGTTCCTAAAGGTTACTTAAAATGCAAAGCTGCTTACGCTTGCACTTTTTTATTGCAGATGGGAGTGAGGGCCGAGAGACAAAATGGCACAATTTGGCACACTAAGGTATTTACGGCAGTGATGGCGTAATCTTGACTGCTTAATTGAGAGGGACAACGAAACACTTGTTTGAAAGCTTTGCTGCTTTCGCTATGGGAGCCTCCCAAAGGCACGCTCAGCCCCTGCTGCGGCCCTTTTCTAGTCGTTAGTAGGATGTAATGAAGACCAAGGCAACTAAAAACCTTTCAGGAGCCGTCAATGGCTAGTTTTCACTCGGGGCATGTTGGGCAGCGTTACAGAAGTGCGAGGCATGGAGCATTGACAGCCTCCAACACGTTCACTGCTTTGTCCCTGCCTGAACTTGCAAGGAAGGATTTGAGGAAGGCAGCAGGCAAAAAGCTCTGACAAGAGTGCTACAAGCCCGCAGTTACTGATGGCAGTAATCTCAGACCTCTGTCTCGGCAATGAGCTGCACGAGGCTGTAGCCGCAGTTGCAAAGCTCAGGCTGGCTAGCAATGAGCAACAGGGCTCAGCTTAAAGGTCTTATCAGCTCAAGTCCAAGTGATGACTAGTTATCCAAAAGAGAAATATGTTTTTAAAAGCACAATCAGTGTTTTCTCTAAGAAACACGATTTTTCAACTAGTGTGACTTTTAGATCACTTCATTCTGTTTGATTTCTACCATTTGAGTGTATGGAAGCAGAGTATTTGGAGTACAGTGATGCATTACCTTAATATAGATTATTATTTAAAAAAAAAAAAAGTTGCTTTTTGTCGGTTTTGGTTTTTTTTAACTTCTCTTTTTGTTGAAGAACCTGAAAATGGGGTGTGGGCCTGATCCCAGGATTTCCTTTCTCTTCTCTTCGGACTCTTGAGAGATTGCATGAACATGGCTCCTAGTCGTTTCCTGAAGCTGTAAACAAAACCCCACAAAGCACGGAAAAGTTGATTATCGAGTAGCATCTTTTCTCAATGGCTAGGGCCAGTTTGGTCAGTAACAAAAGCAGAAGGAATAAGTGAAGAAGGGGTAGAGTCTCACGTATAGAGCAATGGCATAATTGCGGACTCTGGAGGAGGGTGGAATAGAGGGAAATGAGAAAGCTTGCAGTTATTGCAATTGTTTTTGGCTGCATCCGTTAACTTGTGTTAGAGCTGAACTTCTATGTATTTCTTAATCTTTTGCATAGGACTTACACACATCTGTACAAATAATCTTGTGAAAGACTCCTCCATCCCAAGGATTAATCTTATTCTTCAGGGGCTTGAGGAGGCTTTTTTTGGATCAATCCTTGATTACCAATGGCTGGAGATGGGTTTACATTAAAAATAAATGTTTTTATTGCACTAGTTCATTTCATCTGATGTGGTATATTAGTTCTGACAGATTCTGGTCTAAGGTGCTTCATATGAAAATGCAAGACAACCTAGGGAACAGTTTTTGGAAAATCTGCCTCTATTGAACTGTCCCAGCTGAAGACCTGGGACATCTGTGAGTCTGGAAACTTTATACCATATGTTTATTTTCATTCTCATGGAGAAACTATCATTTCTAGCATTTCACATATCTGATCCTTCCAAATCCTCAGTAATGGGCTGTGGTAAACCGTGCTGATGAGTTGCACAGGCTAGTCATATTGTGGGTTTGCTGCTTTTTAGAAGCATTGCCTTAAGTGTCGTATCTTATTCCATTGTTTCCTGACAGACTTATTAAAGCTGCATGACTCAGATCACCACTGCTCCTCTATCTTTCCATCAGAGAAGGCACAAACCTGGACCTTTCTTGGTTTTTTTTAACTTCTCTTTTTGTTGAAGAACCTGAAAATGGGGTGTGGGCCTGATCCCAGGATTTCCTTTCTCTTCTCTTCGGACTCTTGAGAGATTGCATGAACATGGCTCCTAGTCGTTTCCTGAAGCTGTAAACAAAACCCCACAAAGCACGGAAAAGTTGATTATCGAGTAGCATCTTTTCTCAATGGCTAGGGCCAGTTTGGTCAGTAACAAAAGCAGAAGGAATAAGTGAAGAAGGGGTAGAGTCTCACGTATAGAGCAATGGCATAATTGCGGACTCTGGAGGAGGGTGGAATAGAGGGAAATGAGAAAGCTTGCAGTTATTGCAATTGTTTTTGGCTGCATCCGTTAACTTGTGTTAGAGCTGAACTTCTATGTATTTCTTAATCTTTTGCATAGGACTTACACACATCTGTACAAATAATCTTGTGAAAGACTCCTCCATCCCAAGGATTAATCTTATTCTTCAGGGGCTTGAGGAGGCTTTTTTTGGATCAATCCTTGATTACCAATGGCTGGAGATGGGTTTACATTAAAAATAAATGTTTTTATTGCACTAGTTCATTTCATCTGATGTGGTATATTAGTTCTGACAGATTCTGGTCTAAGGTGCTTCATATGAAAATGCAAGACAACCTAGGGAACAGTTTTTGGAAAATCTGCCTCTATTGAACTGTCCCAGCTGAAGACCTGGGACATCTGTGAGTCTGGAAACTTTATACCATATGTTTATTTTCATTCTCATGGAGAAACTATCATTTCTAGCATTTCACATATCTGATCCTTCCAAATCCTCAGTAATGGGCTGTGGTAAACCGTGCTGATGAGTTGCACAGGCTAGTCATATTGTGGGTTTGCTGCTTTTTAGAAGCATTGCCTTAAGTGTCGTATCTTATTCCATTGTTTCCTGACAGACTTATTAAAGCTGCATGACTCAGATCACCACTGCTCCTCTATCTTTCCATCAGAGAAGGCACAAACCTGGACCTTTCCCCTCTGCCCTGCCACTCTGCCTGAGGTATTTTAATCTCTTCTGCCTTTCGTGGAAATAAAGTCTTTAACTAGTAGTGGCCAGATCAGAGATTACCAACTGAAAACTAACTTTTACTTAAGTGCAGCTAGAAGTTTGTGATATGACTGCTCTTAGGTCTTGTGGTCTTGTACAAGGGACAATCACTGCAGCTGATGGAGCAGTGCCTCCCAGGCTGCCTGGCCGCTGAGCACCCACCTTTACTCTACCAGGAAAGTCAGACCACCACCTCCTCCTTACTGTGGGTTATGCTCACTAGCCTACGTTATCTAAAATGCCTGTGCTGTCTACTCATTTCAGGTAGGCCTTTATTCTTGCACCATTCCCAAATAAGCAGGGCTCATGTTTAAAGCAGCACAAATACCAGGTGAGGTACTGAAATGTTTCAGTGCTATAAGCCTTTGTGCTTTGTCAGGAGTAAATCAGGGTGCTTTGGCCTTAAGACA